ATCCTCCCCAAATACGCTGATGCAGAATGCAGAAGCAATGATAGAAGAGGAACGAAACAGTTTCAATATTTTGAATCTGCCTTCCTCTTTTTTACAATGAAAACCATGTTTGCCACAACATGGTAATTTTGATAAATGAGAAATATGTCGTCTAACAATGGCAGACGCACATACACACACGATTACATCAAATTTAAATATCACCTCTAATATCACCTGTGGAAACCAGAGAGAGCATTTCTCATTAAGGGTTTGCAGTATTATTTATGGGGGGTTTTTGTCAATTAGTATTGTCAATAAGTGTTATTGTATGAGTACTGAAAACTATTTTGTAGAGCCCGAGTGTAGAAAAGTTGCAGCATAGAGGAGCCCAATCAGATAAATTTTAAGCAGGGACATAGTCTGCCGATGACAGAGGAAGAGCTGTAAGGATGCATGGTAGTGCAGCAAGGAGAGAACATGAGAACAGAAGAAGAGTGCTCTTGTTAGGGATAGCATTAGGTTTGTGGTTGATGAAACTCTCTGCTCAAAGGGAGCAGAGTGACCGGTAGTACAGTGATTGCCTGCACTGCTTTGCTTTGTGAGAAACTGATGCTGAAGTTGAGCAAAGTATACTATATTGCCAAAAGCATCAGCCCTCCAAATCATTGAATTCATGTGTTCCAATCACTTCCTGCCACAGGTGTATAAAATCAAGCACCTAGGCATGCAGACTGCTTCTACAAACCTTTGTGAAAGATAGATCGCTTTCAGGAACTCAGAAAACTCCACAGTGATAGGATGCCACCTATGCAACAAGTCCAACTGTGAAATTTCCTCACTACTACATATTCCACAGTCAGCTGTTAGTCAAATTATAACAAAGTGGAAGCAATTAGGAACAACAGCAACTCAGCCATGGAAGCAGTAGGCAAAGTAAAACCACACAGCTCAGGGATTTTAATAAGGCAAGTATGAACTCTGTATTCCCCAAAATTCCACCAACATGATAAGTATCCTACCGGGGGAGGCAGGACACTGGACCGTGTGTACATTAAAATCAAGCAGGCCTAGAGGCCTACATCCCTCCCCCACCTAGAACAACCTGACCACCTCTCTCTGCTCCTCATCCCTGCCTGCACCCCCCCCCCCCCCCCCCCCCCCACCTCAAAAAACAAACCCCTCCAAGCGCCTGGGTCATTAAAACATGGCCAGATGATGCTCTTCTCCAGCTACAGGACTGTATTAATCTGAGAGACTGCTCCATTTTTGAACAGCAGGACCTGGAGACATTCACTCAGTCTGTCTTATTCTACATTAGGTGCTCTGAAGAGAATGTGGCAGTGACCAAAACCATCCAGGTTTTTCCTAACTGAAAACCTTGGATGACAAGTGAAGTACAGGTTCTGATCAAAACTGAGGAACAGTTCTCTGTACAGCACTGCCAGGGCCAACCTGAGGAGGGGGATCAAAAGTTCCTTTTCCATTAGAACCAACTCAAATCAACTTGCCACAGTTTTCAGGGTTTTCCATTAGGTCATATTACCTGGTACAGGTACTAAAATGGTACCTGCTCAGGAAGGGTTCGAAAGTGATTTGAGCAGATGCTAAAATGTGATGCCATCAGACTGCATGCCAACTGACCGGTCAGTAGCATCATTTGATGAGTCATGAGAACCGCCATTTTTTAAATGAGTCAATGAGAGAAATGGCTACAAAAACAACACCGTGATCCCTGAGTCTGACAAAAAGCAGCTATATCTTTGCCTCGACAACCAACTTTGTTGTAGCGTTCGTGTGGCATACTAATTACGTCATGCTCAGCCTCGTTGCTATGACAACAACCACGGACATTAGGTGGTAATGGAAAACCAGTTAAGCTGAATCAAGTCGTGGCTAGCTGACCCGAGTAGGTACTAACAGAAAAGGAACTATAAACAGACCAGGGAAACCTACAGGAGGAGGATAGAGGGCATCCTCGTTGATAGCAACCCCCGCCAGGTGTGGAGAGGGATCTAACCAGGTTATTCCACCTCTCCGTGACGTATGCCACTGTTTGCACCTGTCTGAAGGCCTCCACTATCATTCCTATCCTTAAGACTGGAATAGACAGCCTCTATGACTACAGACCTATACCCCTCACGTCTGTAGTCATGAAGTGTTTTGAGCGGATTCTTTCTCAGGACATCAGAGACTGTCTAACCCTATCCCTTGACCCCCACCAGTTTTCCTACAGAGCAAATCGGTCCATAGAGGATGCCATCACCATCACCCTAAGCCATCTGAAGAACAGGAAGAGCTACGTGAGGGTGCTCTTCGTGGCCTACAGCTCAGTGTTCAACACCATAATCCTAGACATGCACACTACAGCTGGGTATTGTCACTGATTTCTTCAACCGATTCACTTCCGATTCACAAGGTCCCGATTCAATCTCCGATTCGATTCAAGTTTGAATCAGTCAGTCTTATAACTACCGTCTCCCTTCTTGGAGACTCTGCAAGAAGAGAAGCTGGTCTGCATATTGTGGAGTCATGCAGCTTCTTTGTGCAGTAACAATGTCACCAGCAGTTGAAAAAACTTGTTCAGAATGAACTCTGGTCCAAGGTAAGGAAAGATACTGCTTTTCTTAGAGAGCCAAAAGAGGATATTCCCCTGCATGGTCCCTCCACCAGATCAAAGGATCCTTAGAAAGTGGAACAGGTTGAACTTCCCTGTATCGATTCACTTCTTCCTTTGCCCTTTCAGTTAGTGTTTTCTGTGACGCTGGTTTTTTTTTTTTGGTGAGTGGACTGGCCCAAGGAGAAACATGAATGCAGAGTCCTTTGATATCTTAGTTGGAGGGGCATAATCCATTTCAACATGACCAAGGGAGATGTCAGGGACAGTTTCCTCTACTCTGTCACCATCAGACTCTTGCTGTAGAAAAATGAAAACTTAATTGATAAAGAGAAATTAATTTGCAAAATAATTTTGAACTCTCCAGACAATTTAACATATTAATACTGGCAATGGAAGGAAATGACTATTTGTATTCAAACTTGAGTAGTGCAAAGAAACAATAAATTTTTTTTAACTAACACTTTTAAAATATTTACATTTTTGCACTATATTAATAATTTCTCATGTCATACATGCATCCCTACAGTTACACACATGCATGGCATATACACACATTTCATAAACATACTTTGACTTCAAGTTGTTTGACTTCAGTGAGAGACACTGATCCTCTTGTCCAGCAGTTGTGCGTGCAGAGGTGATGGATAGAGTTGGGGATTTTTCTTCAGCCATAACCAGTGTGGCTGCTTTCAGTGGTTTCAAAGCTTTCACTATATCTTCTCCATCAGCCTCTGTAAGAGTACAGAGATTACTGTCACTTCTCCTCACTTCAGGTGAGAGTAGAGCTGCAGAGATCGCTGGTTGTTGCTGTAGGAAGCGTTCCAGCATCTCCAACGTGCTGTTCCATCTGGTCACCCCATCAGTCACCAGCTTATGGGCAGGCAGCTTCAGTATCTTTTGCTTCTCTTTAAGCCTGCGACTTGCAATAGTGCTGCTATGAAAAAAGGATGCTATGCGTCTCACTCGGCCAAGCAGCTGAGCAACAGCTGGAACTTTCAGACCTACTTCTGAAGCCAAATTGAGTGTGTGGGCAAAACAACCAATGTGCAACCAGCCCGTTATTTCCACAGCTCACACCATATTTGTAGCATTGTCAGTTATGATGACAGAGTTTTGTTTGTAAGCTCACAATCTTCTATTGCCTTGGACATTATTTGAGATAAATTAACTGCTGTGTGGCTTGCTTCAGTTGTTCTTGTCTGTAAGACATGGGACACGGTCAGGTAATTATCTGTTGCTCTGGATGTCCAGCTGTCATAGCGACTTTCTCTGCTGCTGAAAATGTAGCGTGGATTTGGACAGATGTATGTCTTTACATATGAAAGTTTGATAAACTGGGTTATTTTTTTGAGCACGTGGAAAAGTGGATGCAAACTTCACTGCAAATGCCTTTTTGAGTGAGCTTTGCTTCATGTTGGGTATTTTTGCTAGCATATCTGGATGATGCCTTGCTAAATGATTTCTGAGATTTGTGGTATTTCCACAATGTTTTACCATATGGCTTTGCTTTTGTCCAGCTCTTCACTGTATTCACAGTTCTTGAATCCAAAGTGCTGCCAGACATCTGCCTTTAGGCTTTGGCAGCGCCCTCAGTGGAGGAGCCATGGAAAAAAAAAAAAATATATATATATATATATATATATACATATATATATATATATATATATATATATATATATATATATATATACACAGTATATATATATATATGTATATATACAAAGCATTTCCATAAAGACATTGATGAGCAAGTTTGGTGTAGATGAATTTGACTGGCCTGCGAAGAGTCCCGCCCTCAACGTTTAAGTCCACCTGCATGTAGTGATGTGGGTCCTTAAGCATCACGTTCCAGGGTGTTAGTAAGCCAGATGAGTCATACTAGGCAACACAGATTTAATTAACGAACATCATTTGTTATCCAGGGCTCCATTTATTATGTTAAGTAAACGTCTCTGATCAGCAGGATGCCCTTTGAGGAGTTAAATAATTAATAACAAATTATGTGGTCGGCAAATCACAGCAAGCTAAATAACTGAACTTCATGAGTTATGTATTCTTTCCTCATTTGTCTGAACAAACTTTGCTTTGTTCTTATCACATATCTGAGAAGAGAGATTCCAGCTTCTTCCCACTGTTGAAAACTTTAAATTCGTGCAGGTACATGTGAGTTTGGGGTTTGGGGTTTGGGCCCATTCAGGATTTTCTCTACTATTGCCTAATGTCTGCTGGAAAAGATTCTTATCCCTGTCATTCTTCTGCTGAGTAAAGTGTGTGTGGTTGATGGATGGAGGTCTGGGAAAAACAGAAAAAATGAACGTTCATGTTTTACTGATTTTATTATATCCACATTGCAGGATGAACACAGGTACTTCAATGGCGATTGGAGTACCTGTGAAAGAAACAGTGCAAACATACAGCAGAACAACCTGACCTGCAAGAGGCCGTTAATCACCCGAAATCTTTAACTCGTGTCAAAAGTATTAAAATCATCGCCACACAAAATTACAAGTTGCTTCGACAGTGTGTAAAGCAGGATTGTAGGGATGTTTAACTCAGGCAATGTGTGTCTTATTTCCTGATTTCTTTATTTGAAAGACAAGATTTTCCATGCTACTCTCTAAAGAAAGCAGGCACTTTCATCTGGTTCTGTCAGAATATGTGTTCTAACATATACATTTGTGCAACAACACAGAAGCGGTGAAAAAATCTAGACTACCAGTACAAAATGCAATTTGGAAACAGCAAAAATATGCAATAGTGCACTACAGTAGCAAGATGGTGCTTTGACCAGTATCCCACCTCTACACACTTCTGCATCGTCCCATATTCTTTTATCATCTTCTTGCTACATCATTCTACACGCTTACTGCTCTTCTGGTTTCGTGGAGTGATAAACTGTTTACCAAAACATTATCCTCTATGTTGGTGAAGAAACTGTTGACTCAAGCTTGAGAAATGTGCTCTACAACAGCAATAATTGTGGCATTTATGGGCTTGGCAGGTTTTGACAGTTAGATAGGCTCTTCCACATGTGTGGACTTACAAAATGAAAAATGGAGTCACAAAGGTGTATACAACCAAACTTTGTTCAAATTGTAGACAGCTTATTCTTGCAACATTCTCCTTAATGTCAAACAGCATTTACAAACTCCACCAAAGACTGAAAAGCGTTTCACACGCTGTTTTGACAGCTTGACAAAACAGCTTGTTTTGTCGAATGTGTGCTGTACGAATCTGAAAATACACATGGAGAAGTTAGTGGCAGTTAGTGGCTCTTGGCAAGAAACACTCTCCCCACATCAGTCACTCATCTTTAACATAGTAAGAAGGTGATTTAAGTTAGCTTTTTCTCTACTTAAATTTTCTCCACTGATGTTTTATCTAACAAGCGTTAGCTAGTTTATAAACTTGTCTATTTCAGCTAAGCAGAAGGTAGTTTGGGGGATGCCGTTATATAAAGTTTGCCTAACAGTGTTTTTTTTAGTCAGTAACAATATATGAACCAAACAGTTCATGGACTCCTCACTTGTTACTCACAGAAGTCTTCAGAGTCTTTAGCATCTTGCACACATGCTGCTTCCAGTCTTCCATTGAAGCAGACATTCATTGTATTTCAAAATCTTTGCCTTTCAGCTGTTGGGGACTCTCGTGCTAACCGGTCTGAAGATCTTCTTGAAGCAGATGGAGGTCTTGAGGGCATCACGAAACATGGAGCTGGAGAAAGCGTAGACGATGGGGTCCAAAGCGCTGTTGAGGTAGGTTAACACGATGCATATCATGAAAACCTGGGTTACATTAGTGTAGGACTCGCAGTCATGGGGGTGGTTTCCCTTGATGTAGGCCGCCGCTAGGCCTGTGATGACGCTTGGCATGAAGCACAAGGTAAACACCAGAATGATCACCATGACCGCTCTGATGGCCTTCCGTCCCTTCAGCTTCCTGCCTACTCGCCGTTGGCGAAGCCGGCAGACTATCTTTGCTGAGCAGAAGAGCAGCAAGAACCAGGGCAGGAGGAACTCTGCAACAAAGGCAATGTAATGCAGCTTAATCGGCACAGGGTCTTCTTCATAGGAGTTGAAGCTACGGCACTTGCCACTCGCCTGGTGGAAAAGGTTAGCGGTCAGCAGCGGAATCCCGCGGACCACCACAGCAGCCCAGATCAAGCCCGCGAGCCAGCCCGCCTTTACTGAAGTCATTTGGCTGATGCAGTGATGTGGGTGGACCACCTTAAAGTAGCGATCAAGTGCCACCGCTGTCATGAATCCAATACTAGCAGAGCGATTGACAGTCAGCATGAAAAGGCTGATTCTGCACCAGACCCATCCAAACACCCACTTCCCTCGCAGGTGGGTGTCGATGCGGAAAGGCACGTTGATGAGGACCAAGAAGTCAGCAAGAACCAGATTGAAGAGGAAGAGGGTGTGAGGTTTCCATGACTTCATGCAACAGCAGAAAATCCACAAAGATACTATTGTTCCCGGCAGGCCCAGTATCTCAATTATCAAGCCTATTTCCATGAACATATTTTCTTTATTATTTTTCATGTGCCCGCTGCAGTGCAGTGAAGAATTATTTACTGCCTTCATTTCAGCTACGTGCCTTCTGAGCTCTTTGGTTTATCCGTAGTTCCTTATTTTCAGCAGGTCATGTGTTCTTTCATAAAAGAGAGAAGTGCAAAGAAAATAATTTTTTCCTTTTATTGAACATTTTGTGAAATACTAGCACACACACCTGAAACTTTACACATCCTTCTGTTCTACCTTATTCGTCTGTTTCCCTTTAGATGAAAGCATCTATCAGTAAGATATATATCTGAAGCCAAACTTGAATACAGTAACTAGTTTATTGTTAGAAGCTTTCGTCTAACTTTTTGGAAGAAAATAAAGAAGCTCATTTAATGATTTCCATTTATGCATACCATGTAGTTATTTGTTTTTTAAACTTCAGTGCGAATCTCCCATGCAGTCTAACAAAGCAGTTTGCAAACTGTGTAAGTTATGAAAATGATTTCATAAAAGATACATTTTCCTTTCTATGTAGCGTAGGATTAACCATTAAAAAACACCAGGATTCATGTTAGACTAACAACTTTTGTTTTTAAAAGTTGCCATGGCAGCATTTATGTGCACACCGTGGATAACAAATAATCATAATTTATGCCCTGCATTCTAAACAGATATAAAGTAGAAAGTTTCATACTCACCAGCAGTCAACACTGACTCTTTGCTTTCCGTATGAGAAGACGGCGATGTGTCTTCAGCTTGTGCAGTGAAAGTGATATGATGTGATAAGATCCTTGGCAGTTTATAACTGCTGTCTTTGTCTGAGGGCTTGTTAGAACTTGTGGGTTATGAGTGCTCCAGAGAAATGGCTCTGCAGCTGAACCACTTCTGCTATTATAGACGGTGACGTGTAATAAGCACCTTTATGACATTTTTCTTGACATTTTATGACACACAATATGTCAGGAAATTGTGTAATAATTAATATTTTGAGAGAATCGTAAATTATGACATATGACATTATGGGGAGATGATACCTTTCTTTTTGTTTGCTTAGTGGGGGAAATGTGGGAAAGACTATCCAGGGCCCTAACAGTAGGAGGGGCCACAGCAAGCTTGGAATGCAAAACATTTGTTTTTATTTTTCATTTTTTTTCTACACAGTTAGTATGTGACTTAAATTGCTATAAATTGCCTCCCTACAAATGGCAGAAAATGTGTTTAGTCCACTCTACACCTGGTCTCTCCTTTAAAGTACAGCTAATTTACTCTATCAAGGTGACTGTTGCTATGTCATCTCAAGGAAACAGTTTCAGACTATAAAACTAACAAGAAGACAAAAGAAAGGAGATTTCTTTCAAAACAAGAGTGACCATGTTGACTAGTGTAACTGTGAGCAGTTATTAAAGATAGGGAGCCAATGTAGCTGTGCCACTACCAAAATAACCCAGCACAAAACCATGACGAAACGACTTTCATTTTATAAACAGCCAGCGGAGCAGCAGCAGATCCCTCTCCAAACAATGTGACATAAGGTGAGCTCATATAGTGGCAACTTAACGTTAGTCCAAGCAGTCGTTTGTACACTTAGATTTTCAGCAGTAAGCTTAGCAAGACTTCCACAAAGTAGCTTTAAATGTTATTTTAATAGTTCTCAGCCGGTGTGCCATGAGGTAAGCAGAGGATTTTGAGGAAGCCAGTGCATTTCAGCGTGATGAAATGGCATTTTAAAATACCTCAATGACACTGCTTTTTAATATATTAAAAAAAAGATAGGTAGCGTCCAGAGGGCATCCCTGTCAGATGCCTGAACCATCTCAACTGGCTCCTTTTGATGTGGAGGACCAGCGGCTCTACTCTGAGCCCCTCCCAGACGGCCAAACTCCTCACACTATCATTAAGGGAGAGGTCAGCCACCCTTCTAAGAAAGCTCATTTCTGTCGCTTGTATCCTCGATCTCGTTCTGTCAGTCACTACCCACAGCTCGTGACCATAAGAGAGGGTAAGGACGTAGATCAACCAGTAAACTGAGAGGTTCGCTTATAAGATAAGATAAGATAAGATAAGATAAGATAAGATAAGATAAGATAAGATAAGATAACCTTTATTATACACTCAGGTCTCTCTTCACCACGACGGCCCGGTAGAGCATCTGCATCACTGCAGCACCAGTCTGTCTGTCAATCGCTCACTCCCCTCTCCCCTCACTCGTGCACAAGACCCCAAGATGCTTAAATTCCTCTTGGGGCAGGAACTGACCCGGAGTGGACACTCCACCCTTTCCAGCTGAGGATGTGGAGGTGCTGATCCTCTTTCCCAACGCTCCACACTGGCCTGTAAACTGCTCCAGTCGGAGCTGGAGGCCGAATCCAACATAACCACATCATCTGCAAAAAGCAGATGTGAGATTCTGAGACCACCCAAGTGGACCCCTCCCACCACTTGGCTGCGCCTTGAAATTCTGTCCATAAAAACTATGAACAGAATCCGTGACAAAGGGCAGCCCTGGAAGAGTCCATGACTCACCAGCAGTGTTGTTTAGTGTTCTCCCTCCTGTGCTCTGTTCGCGTCCCTGAGTCAGTATTGTAGAACAGCTTTTGAATTTCCTGTTTTACTTTGAAGGTCTGTGTCTCGTCGTGTCTAATTAGGTTCAGCTGTGTTCCCCTCTGGTGTGTCATTCCCTCATTACCTTGTGTGTATATATAGTGTGTGCCTGCCTGTGTTCCTTCTCGGTTCGTCTGTGTTATTCAGCGTTTCTCCGCGTCTCTGCTCTGCTTTCTCCGTGTCATCTCTGTGTATCATCCTGTGTCCTTATGCTTTCAGGTTTGTTTATTCGTTTTTTCCCAGTCTAGGCTTTAGTAGCTCCCTGTTCCTTATTTCCTGTTTTGTACTTCACCCTCACTGTAAATAAACACCCACTGGCACCCCAGCCAGTACCTGCATTTTGGGTTCTTTTCTCGTAACACCACACCACTGCCGCCCCAGCCTTGATAGTAACTGAGTTACAAGTAACTAATTACTAGGAAAAGTAACTATTGTGTTATTTTGAAAAAAATGTTTATCCCTCTGGGCTCCAGGGTATAGTTGGCTGTTTCTGACTACTTTTGATTTTACTTCTACATTTCACCTTTAAAAATATTTACCTTCCCTTGTTTGGTATCATTCTTTTCAGCAAAACCTCACATGTCTGAATTTACAGTTATTTTATCATTTTGACATACTGTATTAACACAATTGATCCAAAATCAGACACAAAAATCTTTAAATCCAAGTAGAAAAAAGTTGTAATTTTTACTATAATAACCACAAACGTGTTTAACGAATCATTAACTTGAAATGCAAATATAAATTGTAAATTTTCAAAATCTATGCACAAGTTTTGCAAACAACAGTTATATGCAGCTACTTACCTAAAAATGCAGCCAAGGCATTTTTTTTAACTATTTCAAACTATTTACATTACACTCAGGCGTTCTGCATCAAATAAGATGCCACACAAATTATTTGTACCACTCCAACAACTCATTTCTGTCCACTGTAAAATAAAGGAGAACATCACAAGCCTGATACCTGCAGGCATGAAAGCAGGAAGTGTATCACTCCTGTTTTCCACCTACAGACGGCGTCTGGCTTTGGTGGCTTTTTGGCATCACCCGTGACATTCAGCAGACACACAAAACAAAACTATCCACTACACTACACACTAAATATACAACACAATACACTAACAACACACTGCAAACACGCTAAACATCACAAATCTCTCAGTTCTCAAAACTCGCTCTCTCTCTCTCACCGCCATCACTCCTGAAATTTCCTCCTCTTCCTAAACAACCAAATGCCATGTTGCTATTTCATTTTTTTAATGGTCAACATGGTACATTTTTCCACCAGTAGGAAAGAGTGGAGATGTATTCAGGAAAAAACATTGCTTATATTTTTTATCATAACTCTGGTTTTACATGGCCTATCAGCACAATTTTAAAAACTGGTATTGTGGTGGACACTAGAGGGCTCCACTCACACCCAGTGTATAGGAGGTGTGGTCCTGTGTTTTGTGGCGCGATATGCGCAGTTGATGTTGGAGACGAATAAAGAAGGAGTGAGAACTGAGAGCTCCGAGTCGTCTGCAGGTTTTTCTGACCGCCAGTGCCAGCCTCGCTCTCGGGCTGGGTTGCCCTCTGTCAGTCCCCCCCCAGTTCAGCCGTTCAGGCCGTTTGCTTAAGCCCCGGGTCCTGGACTAGTTCTGCTGGGTGTTCGGGGGGGGCATGTGTGGTGGACCACTAGAGGGCTCCACTCACACCCAGTGTATAGGAAGTGTGTTCCTGTGTTTTGTGGTGCGATATGCGCAGTTGATGTTGGAGACGAATAAAGAAGGAGTGAGAACTGAGAGCTCTGTGTCGTTGATGCTTACCTCCACAGTATAAAGTTTGAAGTCCACACTTTTAACACAAACATGGAGAATCAGGGTTGCCTTGGGTTGACATAGCATCTTGTTGGTATGTCATCTGATTGGTTTACCATGACTACTTTATTCTTCCTCAGCCAATCAGCAGCACTTGTGTGATTGTTTCGCCCCGCTAGGTCCCAGTAAGATAAAGCAGACAGCTTCAACCGTCTGTGTGTTGAAAAAGTAACACATCCGCAACGCATTTTCTTGTTAGTAACTGTAACGGCGTTGTAATGATAGAAATAGTAATCCATTAGAGTTAAGTAACACCATTACTAACAGTGCTATTCCTGGAAACAAGTCCGACTCTTGATTTCATCACTTAAGGAATATTCACAAATTCCCATTGTGTCGTACTGAGAACTGGAAATTGTTGTTCATACATTTATTTCATCACGTCTGGATTGTAGTCTTTGTTTATTTGTCTTAAGCAAAACTTCCTGGGAATCAGGTTGTTCAGAATGCTGCGGTGACGTCGTCTAAGTTTTCCAATTACTCACAGCATGCAGTGACTCAGTTACATAGACAGCATTTTAAGATTCTGCCTTCTAGAGCTCTCCATGGACAAGAACCAGCATTGGGGAACACTGTACATCCCGAGCAGGTCTCTCTTCCTTTGAGTTTAAGATCTGGGAAATCAGTGGTCTCTTTTGCTTAACATTTGGTTTTATCTTCTGGCATTTGAAAGGTTGAAAGCATATGGCCAATAAAATGTTACTTACTTACTTTTAACTTATCTTTTTGGGTATCACAATCAGGTTGAAAACGGAAACAGGCTGTAAGAAGATAGACTGATATCAGTCCTCGCGTTAATAAAGGTCTGCCTGTGTACCAAATAGTGAGCAAGAAGACGATAGTAAGTAAAAAGAGAGAGAAAATTGTCCTGAAGGTAATGGGGATAATGAAGCGAGGACAGATCATATTAGAAGTGCTACAAAAATAAAATTGTATTTTTAAGGTTTTTTTATATAACATTTCATAAATCATATTATACTCATATCACACTCAATCATCCTTAAATAAAGAAAATCGTGTACTCTTAAGCTTGATACTCCAAGCAAAACTCTACAATAAAGTAAACTATAATATGAAGTGAGGCTGAAATGTGAAGAGATTTCAAACTGTTCAAACATGGATGCATCGTAGATTTTTCTTATATGTGTCATATGATTTCCTGATTACTGGCAATTCTAGTTACCACTACAGATTGTTGTGTATAGTTGTTAAATCAATTATTTGTTTGAAAAGACAAAAACATCTAAAGATACATGAGAGATATACAGGGTGGGCCATTTATATGGATACACCGTAATAACATGGGAATGGTTGGTGATATTAAAGTCCTGTTTGTGGCA